AGACACGATGACACCAATCTCTTTCGATTCCTAAGCTTGTGAGCTTCCAAATGATATACAATAATGCAGGTTTTACATTTTTGAGCTTTTCCTTTAAAGCTGCATAACTCGGTCAATTTCAGAGATTTCGAGCTCAAACGTGGACAGAAGATCTTAGGATCCTCTTGTGCTACTTCTGTCTAAGTTTGGTCCGGGTTGAAGTTGATGACTTTCCGACCATCCGGCGAAAGTGAAAAAAAGGCTGAACAATAGTAAGGCTTTCTTCCATTTCGGGGCAAAATTGTTTTTCTCGGTTTTTTCAGCTTTTCAGGTGCAGAATTGGATGCTGGTCATCGTGAAGTAGTTGAAACTTCTGGGAAACGCCTAGTTCAGAAGATATAAGCTCTAGAAGATTTCAGACGCGTCGCGGTTCCTTGAGTTGAACTGTGCTCCAACGAACTCTGTCCATTTCTGGAAGTTTGATGGAAGTTTCAACTTGAATTTTGATTTAGGTATGTTTTCTCATTGTTCATTTTCTTCCTCTATTCCTGTTGTGTTGTAATCAGTAGGTTGATGATGGATTCTCAGTGTGTGAGGAATTGACCGCGAAGATGCTTCTGATGGTAAGCCTTAGATGTTAGAGCAGTAGGATCTTGGTGAGAATTGATTTCTTTGTAACACGCGATTGATGTTCATATCTTTCAGGAAGTTCGTATAACTTGAGAGGAGTTAGACACAGGCTACTGGATAGAGGTAAAGTTGGTTTATAACTTGGTGAATGTTGGTGTTGTTGTTACAGATAGTTATAGCTGATTCACCTTGATCTTCTCATGTACGAGACAATCATAGTCAATGAAGAACTACTTCTGAAGGTACTCCCATAGNAGGGCAGGAGTAACCGTTTGTTTCTTATGGTTTCATATGATGTGTTGTTATTCCTCGTTTTGTAACTGTTTTCATTTGAAATAAACTTGTTCGAGTTGAATTTCTTGTTGTTTGATAGGGGCTGGAAGGTTATGGGGGACTCAGAGGACTGAGTGGATCAGGAGAGGAGGTCTGAGGTCTTTGTTGTTTAGTCAGATATTGATAATCTATATATACCATATTTGGTGATAAAAGTGTGGCAGGATAGCCGAGTGGTATACACAGAGATCCCAAAAGAACATGGTTGGTTCGATCTCCGAGGAAACTTCTACTGGCCCGAAGAAAGTAAGTCAGAAACGACCCCCTCCGGTCAGAGGAGGGGGTTATCTCAATATCGAATACTAATTGTTTNNNTGTGGTGCTGTGCGTAAAAGAGTCTGGCAAAGGGCGGTTGGGTTTTAAAAAATTTTGGAAAAAATTAAAAAAAAATTTGGCATGACCCTTCTCCTTTTTGAGCTTTTCAGGATCAAACTTACCTCATCCTACTGCTTCTGCTTTCTCAGCTCCAACTTGACCAATCTGAAACCTTCTTTCCGTGTTATTTTTGTTTCTTCTCCCTCGTATTCTATGTTCCCTATCAGCCAACTGTGGATACCCTCCTCTCATACGAACAACAGTTAAACGATGAGAACGAAGAAATGACGAAGAAGATTGCCAAAGCCAAAACAACTTTCATCTGATATTTTCTGAGAACTTTTCTAATGATAAACGAAACGCATAATATATAAGAGAAGAACATATGAAATTCAATTGATAGAGTGTAGACATGAAGGCCATAAGTTGAATCGAAGACCTTCTTCTCAGAAGAGAATCGTTAGCAGATATATCAGTGCGAGTTTAAGAGAAACATGACTTTGTAATCTACAATCGATTTGGCAGCACGTACTATGCTTGGAAAGAAAGTGAGAATCTGTTCCTGATGAGCGCTCGCATGACCGTACTGAGTTAACTTAGAGGCCTGATTTTTGGAAAAAAACAAATATGAGCGGCTGTATCAGAGAGAAGTTCCAAAAGACAAGTTCGTTTCGAGTAAGACCCTCTCAGAATGCGCCTGACGAATATGTTACCGAGAAAGGTAAGAGATAGAGATCAGAGAAAGTCATGAGCCAGCCTATGTTAGAAAAACGTTTAAAAAAACAAGTGGATCTTAGAAAACAAAACAAAAAACAAAACAGAAAACATAAACAACTAACATGAACAACTATCACAACCTCTCTCGAACCTTGTACAACTCAAAATGACGGTCCGGAACCGACTCCGCCCTCGACCATAGTATAAACCCCTAACTATACACCAATTCATCAGATCGAAACATCAAAAAAAACAAAAAGAAATCACCAATCTCTCGCTTGGAAACTGTTTGACCATTAAGTACAGAACAGTTTAAGCTGAAACGGGGTATACAGTTATACTGATGAAAGAGTCCCGAAAACAACAATCAGAAACGTTGCCAACGGTCATAACCTTTCACAAGAACTATCAGAATAAGGGTTCTATAGAAAAATTAAAAAAAAAGAGAAAATCGGTAAGAATTCGATGCAGTTATGCTTTCCTACGAGTTCTCCTACTTACAAGAGGCTAGTCTGCCGCACAAGAATTACGTGGAAAACGTGAAGCACAACCGCTTAGCCAAAACTTTTCATGGAATGAAACCTGAGCACGACCAAAAAGTTTTTTATTTTCTCTCAAAAATGAAAAGTGTTGTTCACTTCGAAGATCCGACACGATGGAAGCACTGATTTGAGAAGACACGTCGTTCTAACCGTCACAGCTTTTTCTTCAAAATGATCAAAAAAAACATGAACAACTAACACAACCTCTCTCGAACCTTGTACAACTCAAAATGGTCCGGAATTGACTCCGCCCTCGACCAAAATATAAACCCCTAACTATAAACCAATTAATCAGATCGAAACATCAGAAACAAAAAGAAATCACCAATCTCTCCCTTGAAAACTGTTTGACCATGAAGTACTTAACAGTTTAAGCTGAAACGGGGTATACAGTTATACTGATGAAAGAGTCCCGAAAACAACAATCAGAAACATGGCTACTGGTCATACTCATACACTTCAGCTAGGTTCTATCATTTGAACGAGAAAAATCTTTTGAAAAGATTTGAGAAGTTCTAAGATTTATTTCTCAGGTCATGAGTGAAATGGTAAATTTGTTAAGTAAACATTAAT